AACCACAGAATTTTGCGAACTAAGAACACATATCTAGATCAGAACAAAATACCGATAATAGGAGAATATCAACAGGAAGTATCAAATAAGAGTATATATCCGCAAACAGTACTGAAAGAAAGAAAATAAAAAAATAAAATAAAATCTAGAAAATGAAAAAGAGATGGTGACATCAGAAAAATGTGTGGTGCTCAGTCAGAAGTCTCTCATCAGTTTTTGCCTTGTAGTTGTACTCTGAAAATCAAAAAAATAAATCCCAATGGTATATAAAATTCAGCATATAAATATCACATACATACCAAAAAATTCTCAGATTTATTGTGAAAAATAAATCACAGCACTTGACTCAGTCTCAGTGGAAGATCTCATGTACATCATATTAGGGGTATTCGCGGTCTGGATTGGATCGGTTTTGGAAGCAAAAATCATCCGATCCAATTCCTTCGGTTTGATCATGTAATCATCCATTCGGTTTGGTTTTTTTTCAAATTCGATCCAATCCAATCCAATTTTTTCGGTTTGGATTGGATCGGTTTTCGGTTTTTTGAAGATTCTAAAATTTGTTTCATGATTATTGTGCAAATAACATCTTTTGTATATATTGGCTTTGTAAATTTATTTATTTTTAAATACAAAAGTATCAATAAACGATAATATTATTTATTTATTTTTGGATAATGAGATATGAAGCTCTCTACATAGATGAAATTTTGTTGATGAAATGTGACTAAGTTTTTTCTTAGGTTTAGTTGATGGGTTAATGGATCTTTGGTTTAGAAATTTTTGGGCTATGATTGGAGAAAGACCCAAGTAGGTAGAGAGAATTTAATATATTGGATCGATTTGGATTGGATCGGTTTTCATCTACCAATCCGAAAATCGATCCAATCCAATTAAAATTTGCTGTTTTTTTTTTGTTTTCAATTTTTCGATTTTCAGTTTATTCGGTTTTCGATTTTTCGGTTCGGTTACCGCGGTTTGGATCGGTTGATGAACACCCCTACATCATATGATTATATCAAACATTAAGAATAGTGTAATCACACTCAGTACTCCACAACTAATAACAACAGTTACCTCAACCGTGGTGTCACCAATTCCCAGATTTATCAATGACCATACTTTTGGTTAAATGCACAGTTCATGGCAATCAGATAAGTGTCTAACAAGTGTTTTACAAATCTCAATTAGTCTTTTATGGCTACTGTCCAAATCCACATGCAATAACATTAAACAAGTGTACTTTTAAATTTGAATCACAGGCCAATTCCAAAGTCAGCAATAAATCTAACTTGCAACACTTAATTATATGCAATAAACGCTTAAATTCCAAATGCAGGTTGGATGTTGGCATTTTGTACTCGGTATTTATGGTTTATTCAACAATTCAAAATAAGGCGTATTTAATAATTATGCAAAAAGCACAATACAACCCAAAAGCATGAAATATAAGCATAGAATTTGAGTACCTTTGATTATATAAAACCCAATCTCATTAGGCTGTTCATAGTGGCTTACTCACAAAATAAAATAATAATAATAATAATAAAAGAAAAAAAATCAATTGGTGTGTGGTCTTAGAGGTTGGCTGGGTTTAGTGATTTAGGTGGTGTGGTGAAGTGGGTATGGTTTTGGCAGTGGGGTGTTAGACTAGGGGTGTGCAAAAAAACTAGTTCACATGCCCTGCCCTTGATCTGATCTTGACCTGACCCATAAATACCTATTTTTTGAACTGGTTTAAATACTGACCCACTTTTATTTGGGTCAGTTTTAGACCTGACTTGTTTTAATAATGACCCATTGACGCAAAACTTGACTCATACCCATTTTTTACGGAATCACAATTACATTAAAAGAAAAGTTTTAACGTAAAACAATTACGTCAAAATTTTTTCATCAAAATTTGTGACTACAAACATTTATGTAAAAAAAGTTGACGGAAAAATTTTTTTTTCCAATTTTTTTACGGAATCTAAATTTCGCCAAAATATTTCACAAAAAAACATATTCATCAAAAATTTCGATAAAACACATTTCCATAGAAATTTTTTGACCTAAAAAAATTTCATCAAAATTCTTTACAGAATTAAAATTTCAGCGAAAGTTTTCGACGAAAACATTTTCGTTAAACTTTTTGACAAAAAAAAATTTTCGTCAAAATTTTTGGTGAAACACATTTCCATCGAAAATTTTTCGACTAAATATTTTCGTCAAGTTTTTTGATAAAAAATATTTCCATCAAAATTTTCAACGGAACACATTTCTGTCAAAAATTTTCGTAAAAATTTTGACGGAAAAAATATTCTGTCAAAAATTCTTTAGAGAATCTAAATTTCGTCGAAAGTTTCGAATGAAACATTTCCCTCAAAACAATTTCCGTCGAAATTTTTGTCAGAACACATTCCTATCGAAATTTTGAACGAAAAACATTCCATCAAATTTTTTGACTAAATTCTTTTTTCGTTTAAAACATTTGATAGAGGAAATCATTTTCGTCAAAACTTTTAACGGAAACTAAATTTTGATAGAAAATTTACTTTTGTAAAAATTTTCATTAGAGAAAAAATTCCGTCGCTTTTCGAAAAAAAGTATTCCGACGAAAAAATAATTTTGTGACAAATTTTTTGTCATTTGCAATGTAGAAATTTCAACGAAATTTTGTGACGAAACCAAGTCAAAAATGGATCAGGTCAGATTTGACTCACTTCAGAAACCAAGTCAGGTCAGATCCAACCCGGTTCTGAACTAGTTCAAAAAAAATCCAAACCAAGTCAGACCTGACTTGGATCAAATTAAAGCGGGTCAGGTCAAAATACATGACCTATAAAAACCAAATTGGGTCGTGTCGGCTCAAAAGCCTGACCCGACCTGACCCATGCACAACCCTATGTTAGACTGTGCTGGAGGTTCACGGTGGCTATTGGGTTGTGGGCTGGTGGTTTAAAAAAAAATTAAATAAATAAATTAGATGATGGCTTGTGGAGTGGTTCCACGGTGGGGCTGTAAGTTGGAAAAAGGAGGGATTGTTTGTGAAGAAGACGGTGGATGTGGGTTGCTGCTACCGAGCATGGATGTGGGTCTTTGTAGAAGTTGCAGGTTGCCGGTGATGTGGTGGTTATGCGCCTTTGGAGCTGTGTAGAAGGGTTTGACGGTGGGGGTTGAGGTGGAAAAAAATGGCTGTGAATGGCGGTCGGTGGTCTTGGATAGTGGCTATTAGGTAGGATGAAGTGGTGGTCCTCGGTGGGGAAGGATGACTGGTGTGGCTGGGTTAGTGGTCGCCAGCAGTGAGACGAAGGTGGACGGTGGTGTATTACCAAAAAAAAAAAAAAAGGTGGACGGTGGTGGTTGGTTTGAACGGAGAAGAATAGGGAAGGTGGTGGGGCCGTGGTGAGGTGGTTATGGGTTCGGTGAAGAGGAAGAACGGTGGGGGACTAGGCTAAGAAGAACATAGGGTTTAAAAATATATATTTTTTTTTAAGAGGAGGGATATTATTACTACCAAAATTTTCTACTACCAACTCACTCCCTATCTAATCACCATTGGATCAACATTTTCTCTTTTTAACAAAAATATTTTAGCATTCTCTCTCTTTGATCCAATGGTGATTAGATAGGCAGTAAGTTGGTAGTAGAAAATTTTGGTAGTAAGAATATCCCTCCTCATTTTTTAATTAATAAATTTTTTTTATTGAACTGATTGTCGCAGCGCAAATTTCACCAATGATGGTGCAACCGTTAACTTGGCGCGTTTTGCGTGAAGTAACAGAAACTTCAATTGTTCCGTGTAAAATACTCCTGTGACTGGCGCTCGAGGCACAGACGCTCAATGAAATTTTCGCGCAATAAGCGGCAAATTGGTGCTCTTTGCGCAAATTGACAGAAACTTCATTCCACTGGCGCAGATTGCGCCAGACTGCGCTCGAGGCGTGAACAATATTTGCTTTCTTCGCGCAAAAGGGGCGATTTTTGCTCCAAGTTACAGAAACTTGGAATTGTTAGCACCTTTGGCCACACTATGATGCTCCTTGCGCCACCATATATTTTTACCATTTTTCCTCTGACTAAGTTTTCTCACATTAGAATTCTACACCAAAATTTTCCATCTCTTAGTCAAAATTAAAAATTAAAATAAAATAAAAATAAAATAAAAAATAAATTGAAAAAATTATTGGGTTGCCTCCCAATTAGCGCTTGTTTAACGTCACGAGTCTGACGTACCCCTCATGATTATGGTGGTTGGAAGCACGTTATCATTGATGAACCAATCTTCTTGATCCAATATCGCGTCCTTCTATAATACTCATGCATATATGGATAAGAAGAAGTGGCCTCAGGAGCTCTAAATTTAGTCTTCACATGCTTTCTTTTCCTCTTGGTTTTTTCCATCGTAACTTTTGGCTTGCGTTCCTCATACTCCTGATGGATTTTCTTCTTATTTCCTTCCTCAACCTTCTTTTCAACAGTGCAGTAAACTTGACCTTCAGGTTTCCTGGTCAATTAAACTAGCTTTTTTTTCGTGCATTTGAAACTTGAGTTGAATCGATGGCTTTAACTACCTTAGTTAGTTGATCATCATTCAGTAGCTCTGAGGAGTGCAAAATGTTTGCAAACTGATCTTCAATAATGGGAGGATTTTCTTCTTTAAGGATCTTATCTGAGATTGCATCTTCTATTACATCGATCTGAAAGCAGTCTTCTTTATCTTTAGGATGCTTTATGGCCTCAAAAACATTCATCTTGAATTCACCACCATTAACTCTAAAAATCATCTGTCCTTTTTCCACATCAATCAATGTCCTAGCAGTTGCTAAGAATGGTCTCCCCAAGATGAGAGGCATATTGTCATCTTCCTCCATATTAAGCACAACAAAATCAGCTGGAAATATATAATAATTTACCTTTACAAGGATATCTTCTAGCACTCCTTCCAACCTTTTGATGGATCTATCAGCAAATTGAAGAGACATCAAGGTATATTTCATCTCCGTAATCCCCAAAGATTATGCAAAAGAAAGAGGCATCAAGTTGACACTGGCTCCCAGATCATATAGAGCTCTTCCTACTTTGACATTCTTGATCGTACAAGGGATACTGAATCTCCCTGGGTCTTTGACTTTAGATGGCAACCCCTTTTTGATCACAACACTACTCTCTTTAGTTAAAGCTATCGTTTCCATCTCTCTGAGCTTATGCCTGTTTGACAAGAGATCCTTCATGAATTTCGCATAAAGAGACATGTTCTCCAGAGCTTCGGAGAATGGAATGTTAATTTGCAGCTTTTTAAACATCTCCATAAACTTCGAGTATTGTTGCTTCTCTTTATCTTGCTTTTGCCGAAGAGGGTATGGAGCTTTTGCATAAGGATCTTGTTGACTGAATCCTAATGGAAGTTTCTTTGTAGTTTTCTTATTACGATTAATTGCTCCTCCAAAGTAGGTTACATCATCATAATTAGGAGTCTCTTCTTTCTTAGTATCCTCCCCTTTTGTCTCCTCCTCCTTTAGCACTTCTTTGTCTACCTTGGCTAGCTTATCTTGAAGTTCAATCACCTTCCCACTTCGAGTGGTGATTGCATTACAATACTCTCTTGGATTAACTACAGTGTCACTAGGCATTTTTCCCGGAGTTCTTTCATTCAATTGCTTGGCCAGCTGTCCAATTTGAGTTTCAAGATTTCGGATTGAAGCCTCCTAATTCTTGATAGATACCTCTTGAGTCTTGAAGTTTGATCTTGTCTCTTGAATGAAAATATTGGTGGTTGAAGCCATGGTCTCCACCAATTTCTCCAATGCTAAAATTGAGCTAGATGGAACAGGTTGTTGTGGTTGTGGATTGTAAAAGATACCTGAGTTATTCCTCCAACCTGTGTTGTTGCTGCCTTGGTAGTTGTTCCTTTGCGGGTTTCCCATGTAGTTGACTTCTGAAGGTTGAGCTAACGGGCAGCTCGCAGTCAAATGTCCTTCAGCACATATGTCATATACTACTGGTTCCTCAGCATTGATGGCAGAGATTTGATTCTTAGCAACTATCTTTGTGAGAGATTCCATCTGCTTCTGTAAACTCTGTTGACCAGTCATCAAGATGTCAAGTCTATCCACTTGCAGAATTCCTCTTTTGGAGCAGGGTACATCCTCATTCTCTTCAGCAGCTAATTCTTCAATGAGTTGTAAAGATGCAGTTGGAGCTTTGTTAACTAATGATCCATTAGCAGCCGTATTCAGGAATTTTCTATCAGCAGGGCATATACCATGGTAGAAGAGCCTCACTTTATCTCTTGCTTGAAGAGCATATTGTGGGCAAGCTGTCAATAAGCCTTTGAATCTCCTCCAAGCTGCGCCAAAAGATTCACCATCATGTTGAGAGAAATGATCAACCTCTCTCTTCTTCTACATGAACTTAGAAAGAGTAAAGAACTTCTTTCTAAATTTAACCACCAAGTCATCCCAAGAAGTGATGATCCCTTCAGGTTCATTCCTTATCCATTCTTTTGCTCATAATGGAGTTAGCATCAGTGCTAACTCTATTATGCTTGTGAAGCCGACATAGTTCCAAAAATCCCGACACATGAAGATTGGGATCATAGTCGTCCTCCCCTGAAAATTGATTGTTCTGCAACAGCTGCAAGAAGGCCAGATGAACTTCAAAGTTGTTGGCCTGGATTGGTGGAATGATGATTGCATAAGAGACAAGTGCAAATGATGGGTTGAGAAATTTCTCCATGGTATCCTCATGTGGTATTTCTTCAGCCATAGTTGATGTTCCTTCTTAGAAGAGTGATCGGTTCACTCTTTCTTTTTTCTTTTCGCTGCTTAGTAAGCCTTATGTTTTCCCTTGTTATCTTTTCAATTTCTGGTTCGTAGAGCAAGTCGTTTGGATCAACTATACCTCGCATAAACCAGAATTTTTTTTAAAAGTAAAATAAAACAATCAGTAAGGGTAAAAAAAAATTAAATAAAGGTCTAATCTTAAACTCCACAGATACTACTATTGTTGATTTTTAGTCCCCGGCAAAAACTTGTTGCGAACACGGCAAGTATATCGGTCGTACAAGTAATAAAGTGATTAAGTACAAGTATCGTTCCCACAAAGACTAATTTCAAGCAATAGTTTCGCCGTTTTTATCTAAGTTAGACAATTCAAAAGTAATTTCGCAGGTAACAATATTTAATTAAAAATTAAATATAAATGACAGTAAAAGAAATTAATTAAAAAGATAATTTGAAATAAAATTGAGTTTTAAAATCAAGAATAAAAATGCAGTGAGGTTTACTTCACCTCCGATCCCCCTTAATTGGTTTAATTACAATTCAATAATATTATATCTCAATTATTTCAAACAATTCATCATCTAGAAATTAATTGGTTAAATCTTAATGTCTTAGTTCTTTAACCCTTTAACCCAATCGGAATCCTAATGTCTTAGAAATCCCTTTTAGATTAAACCTTAAGTGCGATGAATTACAAAAGTTTGCAATTCCTACAAGCCTATGTCTAAATCATGCAAGAATCGGTGTTCTACCTATGTCTAGATCAAGATCCAAATATGTCTATTGTGAACCCTAACCCTCTTTATCCCTATATAATTGGCCAGGTCATACAAGAATTTAAGCATGCAAATCAAGGTAAACACAAATAATTTGAGACAGTTTATTAATGAAAAGAATTCAATCAAAACAAGGATTCGTGTCAGATCCATATTCCTAACTACTAAGAAAACTAGCCAAACATAGCTGGCTTAAACAAAATAAAGAAAGAAAAAGAAATCATAAAGAAGAAGAAGAAGAAGAAGAAAGGTTGCTCAGTCTCCTTCAAGCTCGTCTCTCTCTGAAATCTCCAACTCTGGACTCTGGTGTTCTCCTCCTTCCTCTCAGTCTCCCTGTGTTTCCAAGAGATGCCTCTAATCATATCTTTGATTCAATCCTTCAAATCTTTCTCTTTTTATTTTATGGAAAACTTTCCTTAAAAATATTCAAACGAAGATTTGAAAAGATTTTGAATGATTCAGAAATCGAAAGTAACTCTACTTGATCTCTCCAATTTATCTCTTTATTGAGCTGAAATTTACCACAAAATATAAGAAATCTTATGAGAATATTATTGAAAATAAAATAATAATTTAACTATAGTTCTCATAACTTTTAAATCAATTTCATTCTCATATTGACACTTAATACATAGCAATTTGGAGACTTATCACCCACTGAGAGACTCCATAAGTATTCATTGTAGAGAGTGTCATTGGATTTGTAAAGTCTCTCATCATTTGGTAGTGTGGATCGTCTTAAAATTGAGGATGTCATGGAACATTATGTCCTAAGGTTATACTTTGATTGTACAACTCAATCCGCCTGAAAAATAGGGAGAACAGTGTACTCTTGGGTATAACTCGAATACATGAGTATATATGAACATACCGAAATGATTCACAATCCCCTACAAGGTATTAGTCGTTCACAAGATCGGTATGGCTTGGATGATTTCTATTTGACTTAGGAATCTATGCATAGTAAGAGATTATGAGGAGTCATGATCAGTCTTAGAGTAAATAGAAGAAGATTCCTAGTTCAATGAAAAGCTATATTTAGTCAATAAAGAAAGATGATACTTTATTCTTGCTCTCGACTAAATGTGAATGACGATGTAAAGGATGATGCCGACATAGAATCCAAATTAAAAAGGTATATCACTTGATCAACTCGATTAGTTCTTGGGCCGCAGAGCATTGCTAGTGTCTTATGTGGTCATTAGATAAATTGGACCCGTTAAAAGAGTTTAATTGGTCAAAGTTTATTTATGTCAGCAACACATTGGGCCTAATGGGTCACACACTAAGGTTATTCTTGATTGCTTATATTTAGCAAGTTTAGGCCAATAATTGTTATTGAACTTTTTCAAGACTATAGGTGTAATTGGGTTGAAGTTAGACTCCTAGCCCAATATCATAATGCGCCCCATTTGTACTATTAGTGAAAGATTATTTTTCTACTAATATGCCCAAATGTGTCAATGGCCTATTTTCTTTTGAAAGGCTTTCATGTTGTGTTGTCTTCTCTCTGGTCGCCTTGATGAAGTTATAGCATTTATTACAGGAATTTTGGGTTATACCCGATATTCCCCCTAACTTGATATAAACATGAAGTCTAGTAAGAACAGATTCACTCTTAAATTGTTATCTACGTGAAAACAGAATATCTGCCCAATAGGGTATTGCTATGAGTCTTAACAAGTCAAATAATTGACTTGGCAAAAAAATAAGTTTTGGCGCAATTCGAATTTTAAATTTGAAATTTGAAATTTGAAATTTTGAATTTGAATTCAAATTTCAATCACGAGCTAGGATAAAATTGAATTTAAATTTGGTTTAAAATTATGTTTAAAACTTAAATTCAAGAGGTTAGGTTGTTAAGGATAATTTAAAATTATCCAAATCGATATCTAATGAGATAAGATAGAGACTTATTATTACCATTTTATTTGAATTATGAATTGAAATAAAATTGTATTTTGCAACAATCAAGGGATTTGATGAAGATTCTAAGAGATTATAAATGGATATGATCCATTCAAGTCTATTCTTAATTGGAAGTCAAATCATGAGGTGTTTATCTTTATGATTAAAATAATATCCTAAGAAGATACACTGTATCTTCGTGGATATAGGGCCTAAGTAATGTTATTCAATTAGGATTGACAAACCCTAATTATATAACATCAAAGTAGCGCCCTCTCTCCTAAAAAAAACAACACCTCTCTTGACTAGAAACCCTAGTCTTGGCCGCCCCTCTCTCTTCATCTTTCCTTCCATTGTTGCTCCTCTCACCTAACCTCAAGACAACATTACAGTCTTAAGAAAATAATCTAAACACTTGAAAGCCTCGTCTTTGCCACAGCCTAGCAAGCTTCCAAGGAAAGGAGAACTCAAGGAGAAAATGTTTCTCAGAAGCAACAAAGAGGTAGCCGTGTGGATTACCGATAGAAGGAGTCATCTTCTTTGACGCCTTCAAGAGAAAAAGGTATTAACTTTAAACCCTACATGTTTTAATGGGAAGATCTTATTACATGAGGCGCATAGATTGCCTATGCTTCCGCATCAAAGACAATTTTTTTCCACCCTTTTGTAGGCGCACCAAGGTTTGACTAAGGTGCAGCCTTTCTGGACTTTCAGGAAGAAAATGGGCAAACTTAGTCAATCTGTCTACAATGACCCAAATAGAGTCGAAACCAGCTTGAGTCTTCGGCAGTCCCATAATGAAATCCATAGAAATATTCTCCCACTTCCATTTACGGAATCTCAAGAGGTTGAAGTTTACCAGAAGGCTTGTGATGTTCAATCTTCACTTTCTGACAAATAAGACACTTTGACACATACACTGTTATATCATTTTTCATACTAGGCCACCAAAAGTTTCTCTTCAAGTCCTGATATAGTTTTATTGACCTAGGGTGGACGGTGAATTGGCCTTTATGAGCTTTAGCCATCACTTATTCTGATATCGGACCCCTAGGCGCCACAATTAAATTTTGGAATAACAATAAATCTTGATTGCTCAAAGATACACCATCTTGGGCCTTCACATATTTAAGGCATTCTCCTTGAACTTGTGCTTCTTTAATC